GTCCAGAGCAAGAAGAAAACTATGTTCTGCACCGAATGCAGTGTCTCTCAATCGAGCACAATCGTTTAGTGACTTTGTGATTACGGTGCTAGTTAGGGCGAGAATAGGGACGAAATCGACGTTCACAGGCAGACTGGCTAAATAAGTGCCTGTGACAACTTGTGATGCTTTCCAGTTTGATTTCCATCCATATTTTGCCTGGAACATTCTAAATGCCGGGTCGTCCAGATTTCCGTCTTGGTCGTCTCGGTTCTTTGTTGATCTATACCAAAATGTAATCGACAAAAAAAGCTGCTTGAAGCTCTGTAGTTTTTTCACCTATTACGTCCAAGCTGATTACATCTTTTTGTGATTATATTTCTATTACGTTACTAGGGCCTCGCACACTAACTCCCGAGTGTGCGATGCAAAATTGAAATGAGATACCCAGAAACCCGTTGCAGGTGTCCTGAAGTCGCTGACGCAAATTTTGAGGAAAGTATTTGGAAAAGTATTCGGAAGAGACCAAATACATTTGGTTGTATTTTTATCTTGTATTTAAATGCTTTTTTGGAAATGTAATTAGATTTGTAATTAAATACATTTTTGACGAAGTATTTTGTATTTGTATTTCGATACATATTTGCATGTATTTTGCCCATCCCTGATATGAATCAATACACTTGTTGCCTAAAAACTCATTATTCAAATTAAAAATAACTCGGACTATGTGTGTGACTATAAAATAAATAATTAGCCCCTTCAATTAGGTTCGTTTAAATCTCCTAGAAGGCACACTTGAGCTGCAGTTGTTCATAATTTTAACTTATTACTACGTTAAAATACTTACGGTCAACGACTCATTGAACTTAGTGGTACATTAATTTGGAGTGCAATACCAACGGATGTGAGGCAAAAGTCTAATCTTCGGCAACATAAAAAAATATATATTTTTATTTACAATTGTATTAACTACAATTGACGTAATCTAGTATTTTGCTCTGTTGCAATTTTTAGATGCTTGCCGCCCAGTAAAGCTTATTTTGTTAATGGGTCCGATAATGCCCACTGTGGATATAAATTCAAACAATTTTTGTGCGTTTGTTATATTTTTTATGAAAAAAAATTTGAATTTGGTTCTGAGCTTGAACCTTGTGGTTCGGAGCGTGGGGTTAAAAAGCACGCGCTGCGTAACCGAGAGATCCTGGGTTCGATCCTCTCCCCTGTCCGTTCCAATACAGATGAGGTCGTGCCAGGGTGCCTTCGTGCAATCTCTTTTGCAAAATTCAAGTTAAAAAAAACTTAGTAGTCGTACTGCACTGGTAAAATTGTTCATTCACAACAGAGAGGCAAGTCGCCACATTTCAATGCCTGACTAAGTTTACGCTGTCTAGATTTCCTCAAAATTTATTTTTAACCGTGTTGGTGTTTTCTGGTTGAAAACACCTAGCTATAAAATTTTATCTGCTGGGGCTTTCAATATTTAATTTTGTGATCCTTCTTTTTTATGAGATCAGCATCAAATCTTACGCGCACCAACGTTCTTTAGATTAAAAATACACCATATATAAATAGGAAGGCCAGCATTTAGTCAGTCCAAATAATGAGAGTGGGAATCGGAAGCATGCTAGAGTAGCTGCGTGGTCTCTGTAGCGAAATCGGTAAACTAGAAGTACACAAATGACTTAGGTTGGTAGTATAGACGCTTTACACACGCGCCAGAATACAGCCGTCATTGCTGACCTTCTCTTGTTTTACCGAGATACCGAGCCACTGAAATTGGTGTGGACGAGCCTCCACAAAGGCCAATGCTGGGGAGAAAGACAGAATAAAATCTAAGATGGCAATAACCTGGCTTGCTATGGTAATAATGAAGTGAAGTAAACGTAATAAGGGGAAACAAAAACTGAAGGTCAGTTATGGCGGCGCCCATGCACAGCCGTTGCAAAGCATCTATAGGTGCCTGAAACGCGCCCTTGACTGGTTTATATAGCGTTTTACAGGAACCGTGCATCAAAACAGGTTCCGAAGTGGCAACAAAGTATGTCACAGGACAGGAGCCAGCATGTCACGCTGTCGGATGTCGCGATCCTGGCGGTTGGTTGAGGAAGTTCCGGCATTGACGACGAGCAAACGCGAGAGCCGCTGCACTCGTTTCCTCCCGACTCGTGGCTACTGAGGTTTCTATTGATTGTGAGCAGGAAAGCGACCAAACATGGCTTACACGTGACGTCAGTCCGCTCCTTTCTCTGGTGGCGAGAAGGGCCTCGTTAGCGCAGCAGTAGGTATACCCTCTCACACGCCCTTTCTCCATTATGTCTGACCAAGTGACGTCAGTACAAGCTATGTATACTCGGGTACAACTTTTCTTGGCAATGCAGTCAAAGGTAAAGGCGGGCGTGCCCTCTCCCAATTTGAGCGCTACTCGAAGGTGTGCGCGCGCTCTGCCTATTCATCTCTCCTGTAGTACCACCGACAGAATCTAGGCAGGCCACGGCATGACAATGGCACCTTACCAGGAGAAAATAGAGAGGCCAAAGTTGAGGATGCAGTTGGATACGCGTTCCAGGCCCCATAGCATTGGGCCATTTTGCGCACAGTGCTTCTTTCTCGGGGGATCGGTGGCCGAGCGTGTTAGAGCACCGCAGCTCAGAGCACATGGAAAGAAAGCTCGCGCTGCAGAACCTCCTGGGTTTAAACCCCACCCCTGCCCGTTTCGTGCCGGCTAGCAGTTTATTCTTCAATATCGCGCAGTGAACGTTGAAAACCTTAGGCTAGCAGTCGTACTTCACTGGCTAAAGTTCATCAGCGTAAACCAGTGTCGCCGCACCTCAAAAGGCAGAACGACCTTAGGATGTATAAACAGGAACGTCAAATTTGTTTTCGTTTTCTTTGCTTTTTTTCTTCTTTTTTGCTCTGGAGTACCGTTGACTAGCCGACTCGAGCTATTTGCTGTTGCCTGCGTTTTGCCGCAGATCGTAATGACGTTATTTCTTGTTTCTTTTCACGCGATTGCGTGCTGTCGTCATCGAGTACTGGAAAGCGCGGTGCACCACCCTAAGAATAGCATTGAGACAATCTTGGATGCGTTTCTTGCCACTGAGACGGCCTATGAGTCGCAAAAAACCATAGGGTCTTCTCAATGACTCGAAAGATTGAGAGACAACTAGCGATTGGGGGGCCCGCACACGCCGCGGACAGGTATGCATGCAGGAGCTTCCGAGTGAATGTGTGCTTTAGACCGCTTTCGTGTGATGGTTGCCACGTTGAAATATGACGTAGTTGGGTCGGGCGAAAAAAAAGACTTGAGTGAATAGTTTAAGCGTAACTACAGTAAAACAAGTACAGCCAAGAAAAGCGTACAGCTATTTGCACGAACCCCTTGAATTCTGGCGCCTTCAAACCGGCAAGTTAAGTGATTTGGTATTAGTGCGAAAGCATTAACTGTCCCACGTAGCGAAACCGGTGTTGTCTGAAACCGTCTGTAGCAGCGAAACGGCAGTTAAAATCGCATTGGCCAAAAAAGCACAGCAACGCAGATGCTTTGTCACGGAAGCCGGCGAGGCCGCTCGACGTCAAGCGGACGCGCCTCAGAAATAAAACACGAAGAAAAGCACAGCAATGCAGATGCATCGTTACGGAAGCCGTGGAACCCGCGGTGCTCGCCGCGCCTGCGCGGTGGGGGTCTGATCGAGGGAGCGCGATGTCACCGCTAGAGCGCCGTGTGAAAAAGGAAGACCTGGCGCGCTGCTTGTAGAAATACGCTGCGTGCAGGAATGCTTTCGCATTCCTACGTGAAGCGCATTCTGTGTTCGTACTGTGTCTGACTCGCAACCGAAGGGTCGTGATTTAGAATCCCGTCTAAAATTCTTTAAATTTATCTTTACTTTATAATGGGATATCATGTGAGACATGTGGCGATCTTTAATTCGCATTACACGTCGTGATTTTTAATGTCTTACATTTCACGCCTGACGTCACGTTTCACGTAAGCGTTGTGGGTTATTTGAAATTCCCGCGCGAGGTGATGTGGCTGTGACGTCATGACCCTAGCGACCAATCAGGATTTTCCCATCACGCCATCGACGCCGGCCTTTCTGCGACACGAGCTCCTTAACGCTCTCGCATTAAAAATTTCCCGAAGCATTCCCTTACAAAAATAAGTATGGACACTCCAAGGATCGTTCTAAAAAAGCAGCTTCCCTAGGAAGAACATATAAGGCATATATAAGCAGACCTCGACTACTGCTGCCTTCCTGAAGTCATCCTTTGGCGGCCGTACAGTATATTGGCCAACGGACGTTCTATAGACGTGCTATTCTACTGACGATGTAAGGTCATCCTATACCCTATCTATAGTAAGACACTTTAGGATGCCCTTAAGTTGTCTATATAGGGCTGGTGTCACTTTTTAAGGTTGATCACATAATTTTCATACGAACTCAATAGGGTGTCTACACAGGATCCATATAGTGTATATGCAGAGAACCGATACAAGGTCTACAGGGAGTCCCTGCGGGTTCCAGAGGGGAAGCCATATGCATGCGGCTTACATAAGTAAGCCGTATGGCCATTGCATCAACAATGGTTGCTGCGCTCGCTGCAGTTCTGGCTTCCACGACGTGCCGAAACGGGGGCTGCGATCGTTAATTCACTGCGTGTGCTTGGTTCAGCCGGCAATAGCAGACGTACAAAGGCGACGAACGCCGTGACGATGCACTTTTGGCGCTAATTGATTGGCTCCACCAATCGCAGCGTTGTATGCGCTCGGTTTTTGCGGGAAACGGAGTATGGAATACGAGAATGAACTGGATAGGGTCCAAGAAGGACGTCGGAAGCCCTTGTTTCTCCTTTGAATGGATGCGCCCTTGTTTACCCCGGTCGCGAGATACGTGCCCGTGCAATCAGGGATCGATCTGAAGCAACACCACGTGGCTCCGAGAGCGGTGGCCTATCGGCGCCACTCTCCGGTCCCGGTATCACACGGCGTCACTTGCTGATCGGCGGCCAACACCTGTCTCCTCTCGGCGGCTATCTGCGGGGCAAAAACCTCTCGGCTCACTCGGGTCGCCAGTTTTCAGAGAGAGGAGCCCGGACGCACGTTCCCATGAAGCCGCTGGATGTGCTCCTGAGCCGGCTCAACTGCCTGCTCAACATCGACGCCCGGGATGTGGGCAAGCAGGACGAGATGGGTGAGCCCCCGGAGCACCCCGGTCCGGCGTGCAAACCATCTTGGAATACATCATCCAGTGTGCAGACACTGTCTGGGCCGTCCTTGTACGACCCTTCTGTCAGAATGGTCAAGCAGGAACTGTTTGCAGACATGTGGAGCATTGTAGGAATCCAACAGGCTTCGGGCGCGTCCGTAGCTCCTTCTGTAGGCAGCGAATGTCGTTTGTATGTTGTGCGTGCAGATGGACAGCGGCTGCAGAATGGCGTCCGACGCTTCATTTGGAGTGGATGAAATGTCGCGAGAGAAACGAAATTATTGTAACTAGCCTCTGAGCGAGACACCAGAATATTTCATGTTCCTGTTAAAGTGCGATAACATTCGCGTCTCTCAAACCCATACTCAGCGTCAACTACACCTTGAGTACCCAAACTTTGACTTAGCGGTGCAGGCGCTATTCTTCACTTATCCTCCTGATCATCGGCAGTAGCATCATTATAATAATAATGATAATCAGTATCGTAATCATTATCGTCAACACCTTTATCGTTACATGTTTATTTTAAATGCTCATAACCCGCTAAATTACCTCGATCCTGATGCAAACAAAACTCATTTCGAGGTGTCGAAATTTTATGTTTTCGGATGATTGTGTTCCGAAATGATCGTGCCCTAATGGCCTGTTTTCATATCATGTTTCAACGCTAAATGGTAGAATCACTTCACGTATCACTTCAGTGATACGTGAACTTTGTGCTTGTGATTACTGAGACATTTGCCGTTCTTACAAAGTTTCTGAAGTCAATGTTCGGTTGAATTGTGAAGATATTCAAGCTGGTATGTGCTTGACAAACTACGGTAAAAGTAAATATAGTACTGAAAAGGAGAATTGTTGCACGACTGATACCACCCAAAATTAATAAAAATAAGCCCTTGTCCAGCTTCTAAACATAGTTTCAGAATATAAAAAAAAAAACTATCTCAGTGGGATCTGGGAAAGGTGCGGCGATACTGTGGGACGTTAAGTGGGAGCATGCTACATGTTGTTCTGAGAATTACAGCACAAGACAGGTGTGATACTCGCAGCTCATGAATTCCAAGACCGTACACTGAATGAATGTTTCTTCGGCACTCTTTATCATCATCTGGGAAAATATTGCGCAAGGTGAGCATCAGACCAGCTGGCAGTTATCGACCCACGCGGGCAGGATATGATAGCAGCACCTAAGTATTCTTTAGATATATCACCGAAAATACCATATTGAATGAGAAGCTTCACTTCCCTCGAGGCTTACCTACATCACTTTTTCCTATCGCCCTTACGATTTCGAATCTGACACTTTGTCTTTTTCGAGAGTGTCAGAGTAGATGTGCATCAAACAGGAGATTCATACATTAATCTAACAAATGATTGATTAAATACTTATCGAATGCGTTTTGTACTGTAAATGAAAACAGAACTTAAGAAAATGTTACACGTATATAGCAGTAACTCTCGCTAGCATTGAAGATCGTCTCTTCGAGAAAGCAACACCAATGAATTGGTGCTTTCAACAGGAAATCACGCAGTGGCACTTCGAAAGTTTTCATAGAAATAACTAAGTTCAAAAAAGGGGACAAAAAAAGAAAGTCCTTTTTGGAAATAAACCGCTGTTTGATCTGCAGTCAACTATTTTGTCCCAACTTCGCCTGATGGTAAAATGAACAGCTTGAATTTACATCTTGATTTTTTAATACGCATACGCCTATTGGTCTTTTCCGACGTTACAAAATTAATTTAATGCTCAGTTATTGATTTTTATTCCTATGATAAATTATTGAGCTTTCGTGAATGAGTCTTCAAAAAGTGTCAGATGTTTGTAAATTAGAGTATTGCGTATATTATTGCTTATACGCGTGGATCTGGGAGCATAAAAATGCCCCAGTGCTGTAACCACGTCGCAGCAACAACTACTCATAGACAAAGCATCATCAAGAGGAGGCGATGTATTAAGATGTGTGACTCTCATAATATATGTGCAACTGGCAGAAACTAGAATTTTACAAAAATTATGTTTCACTCCTCACTTCATAAACTTCAAAGTATCGCTGGTGGACAGAAAAAGCATTAGGGGTTTGAGCTATCGCAAGTATTGCAATAAACTGAGTTAAAAAAAAGTGCAGTCCTTTAAAAGGTAACTCCGCTCAAACGTCGACCGAAAGGAAATATTTCTGATATCCTCTCACACGAGAGCTTTTCAGCAGTTTAGCTGTTGCTGATACTACACTGCGAAACGCGCTGTCTATGAAGTCACCTTCGTACAGCTATTCTTAATCCCTTTCCGTGCTTTTAGCTGCTGCCTCTGTCGACGATTAGTACTTCTCACGTTTCCTGGTTTTCTGTAGTGGTGTACCCGTTACTAAATATAAGTAAGGAAACAATGTTGCTCGTTAGTTTGGAAAATATTAACGCGTTACTGAAATTCGTTACCGTCCCGCAAAAGTAACGATGAAGGCCTTTGGTTTCACTACTGAACAGACGTTACTTTTACGTTTAATTCAATTCAGTGAACGTTTAATTTTCACGTGCTTGCCAACTGCCCGAAGGCCTTTACGGCAATCACAAACATAAAATACCTATTTATTACAACTATACATGCTTAAAGTTATACACAAGCTGAAAATTCTACACATGCTTAAAATACATACGCAGGCTTAAGTTAAAACAGGGCAAATTTGTACAAAAATATACATTTTGCAAAACTTCTTGTTTAAAACATGCTGGATTCGTGATACCGGTAATAAATAGTGATAAAGATCTGGGTAAAATACTCTACGATTTTTAGAGATTGTGCTAACAGGAATACGGAAGTGTAGAGAAGCGAGAAGAGTAAAACTGTTTATTGATATATAAACTAACCTATGCAAAATCTTAAAATCCCGAATAGACCCCCTGTTAGTTAAAGTGCACAATCGTAGCCTAGATGAACTCAAATTATATTCAAAACAATATTTGCGAAAGTAAATATCTTTCGTAGATTATCCGTACAAGTCGTTTTTGTATGTGTTCAATAGTGGCGCTTGCTGTTCTAGAAATAGAGTTCCAAACGACAGATGAAACTCTAAGTTTAAAGTGTTAATGAGTACTGAAGAGTCTCAACAGGCAGTGATGAGTGGTAAATGAGTTAAACAAGCTATTATTCCAAACGTGCGCAGGAGCTGGCTAACAATGAAGATCGCGTGAGGATTACAATAAAAGGTGATCATCCACAAAAACTCATAGACCTCTTACTAGTGTGGTCCAAAATGTAGTTTCATTTTCCAGGCGGTATACATAAGATGACGTGCTACGCTTTATTGATAAAGACATCAGTAAGGTTTTACGGGGATTCAAAAGTAGCTTGTTCGAGAGACAGCATTTTTGTACTTAACAAACATCGTCTTGCAGCAAACTACAGTCAGTGATAAAGTTCACTTCCCAAAACAGCTTTACATTGCCTGCAAATATGAGCACCTTCGAGTGTTTCACCGAGGATAACAGATCGTTTATAAAATTAATAAACAACAAAGGACCAAGATTCGAGCTCTGAGGCACAACCAAAATAGACATGAAATGGCGTGACAAGTAGCCAGAAACTCTAACACGCGGTTCTGTCTTTCATGTAGACAACTCCTGAACCAGACAATGTACTCGGGGCCAAGACCATAGAGTTTCCGTAGTGAAAACTCGTGATTAACCTTGCCAAAGGCTTTAGACATTTACAATTATATTGCATCTACCTGACCCCTACCTTGAACAATTGGCATAGAATAATTAAGAATTGTGCATAAATTTGTTTCAACGGATCTGCCTGCTAAAGACCCATGCTGCCTTGAAAATGCTTTTATTTTGAAATATTTATACAAGCGGCTGCACAACACGTTTGACAATGCATTTAAAAGGGAGACAGGACGATATTTACTGGCATTGCTGCGATTATTAGATTCAATAACCGGCACAACAGCTGAATATTTTCAGTTTTCTGGAAAGACACCGTTATTCTGCGACAAATCAAATATCTTCTCAAGAATAAGAGCAAAACGTTTTGCTGCAGCCCTTCACAATAAAGTTGGGAATACCATCGGATCCTTTCGATAGTTTAGAATTTAGTTTTCCGATAGCCGAAAGCCCCTTATAAACAGTAACGCTCGTAACTGGCATACAGTCGTCAAAACACCGTGTCAATTAAAGGCGAAGCATGGCGTTAACATTGAAATATCATCAACTAAAATTATGTGCAAACAACTCGCAAACAGACTTTGGGGACATATGAACAGCAGATCTATTGCGTAGCGTTATATTGGTTGATCCTTGCTGGTATGCCTCTTCACAAAGCGCCAAAATTCTTCGGGTCGCTCGTTTTGGCTAAGCTCTACCTGTTTACAATAGGTACTGTTAATCCGCTAGGAGTTTCTTGTTATTTCACGATATGTGCTATATTTTTCGTGCCACAAGTTCAGTTTTATCTTTTTGTAAAACAAATGGAAATGTCATTTTGACCTTAAGTGATGACGAAAATTATTGGAGAACCATTCGAGGTACTTCTATGTAGGTTGGAGGAGCTTAGGAATAAATATATACACTGTATTATTTATTACCGATATGAGACATTCCACCATAAAATGGATATTCGAATCTTGCAATATATTAGTCTATATGTATTCAGATATTAAATAAACTAAAAAAATCACTGAGACTATGATGTGCATATCTCAGTACTTAGCAAGGTGATATGGCCTTTCACTTTCACAATAAAAAAATCCCGTGCGACTTTCCCGTACAACACTCGGAGAGCCAATCACGCAACTTACTGTGGCAGCTCAGCGAATGACGATGCCGAAACATATGTTTAGACCAAAAAACGCCGTCTGAGTTGTGACATTAAGCAATGCAAAACGTCACGCTTGCATTACTTAATGTCACAACTCAGGCTGCGTTTTTTTGGTCTAAACATATGTTTCGGCATCGCCATTCGCTGAGCTGCCTCCGTAAGTTACGGTGAT